CCCCCCCCCGGAACCTTTTGTTTGTTGCTGGAGCACTCATTTGTGAAACATAGTAAGAACGCAACCCTAAAGAAGTTAGTTCAATTAACTTGTAAATGAGTGCCATCACAGCTCCTGTTTTAATAGGGTGGATTAAGGGGCAGTTTAGTTTCCGGTAGTATTTGTTATTCTTTAACTAATCGTAAACTCAGTAAAGTGTTGCCTTTCATTGGTTGAGGAATGGAGGGCAGGTGAAAGAAGTAGGAGTTCTGTGTAGTGGAATGCTGCGGTAGTTAGAAGCAGGCTTAAAACTCAGCGTAGGTGTTCTTGAGAGCTGTAGTTGTGTGGAACGATTGCTCTGCTCAATGTGGAACGCCTACTGCTTTCTTCAAGGGCAGCATAAACTGGTGGTCTTGTTAAAAACGAATGCTGCTGTCCCTGTACAAGCACAATGAATTTCCACTGATTAAAAGGAAGAACGCTTTCTTTGCAGGCTGGTTCTGTTTCCTTACTGAAGGAGCAAATGGAACTTTTGCAAGACTTAACCAGATTCCTATATTGAGGTTGTAATCCTTCTGAAGTGTGATGGAATCATCTGAATTTAATTGTTTTATTGGTTGGGCGCTCCGCCATTGGGCATAAGTACTTGATCTAACACGATGGGTGTAATAATCTATGATTAGATGTAGCTGTCCTTTCCAGATTCTTTTCCACAAGATGAGTGTCATTTGCTCATCTAGCTATTGCTTTATGATAGCATTCATTTGTCAGGGAAAATGTTCTGATTCAGTGTTTCTCTGTAAAAACCAAACAAACAAAAAAACAGTGGAATATCCAGACTGCTCCTTTCAGCCTCCTTTATAATACACTTCTGAAAGTGCACCCTTTCAAGACTTATTTTTCCTCTGCTTACCTAGTCGAGACTTTATTCTGTACCGGTACCCTGGAAGGCCACCCACTTATGCTACAGACAATGGCTTTGAAGACAAGGTGAGGAGAACTGAGGCAATTTCTTATCCCTACCCCTGACTCCTAGATACCTCTGGTCCCACTTAATTGTGAAAACTTCCTACTGGAGTTGTGCTCTAACTCAGTCTTCCCTTGTGCATTTAAGAACAAACTCCCAGAGCTGACTTCTGCTCATGGTAGAAGCACATTATTTGCACAAGATTTAATCAAACTGTAGTACCTTTGCTACTGAGGGTTGATTGTGTGCTGTTCCCCTGTTGATCTTTTTATAACAACTGCTCATTGTTGGAAACAAGTCTAATTTTAATGGGAAGAGGTAACATAATTCCAGAATGCTATTTCATTTTTCTGAATTTTTGCTGAGTGAAAACGCTTCCTAGTGGAAAGTGGGCTGAACTGACTAGATACAGTGAGATAGCCAGGTTGAGTTTTGGAAGAGCAGAATGAGATGTGCACTAAGTATAGTGTATACACTAAATAGAGCATATGTGAGAAGGCATTCTCCCCAATCCTGGTGCCTCTCATCTAAAAGTCAGCTGAGATGTGGAGGTTTTCTCCCTGAAGAGGGGATGTTGATAGAAACAGATTAATATAACAAGTGACTCATTTAGCTGACATGATAGATCAAGTTCCATTAAGAAGGAGCTAATGAAACAGCTTAAAAAAAAAAAGGGAACTTATACAAGAAATGCTCTGTATTACATCCCATCTGACCCCTCTTGGTTTTTTTCTGGACTTATATTGATATGCCCATGCAATTATGTGAATAGCTCAAGTGTGCTGCCAGTGAAGTTGCTGCAGTGTACACTTCTGGATGGGCTATTATGTGTGCTCAAATGGTGAGCGTGTTCTGAAATCTGTGCAGCTTTAGCTCTTCTGTTCTTGGCTAATACACTGCTATCTTTATATGGGCTTCACTTGCACCTAAAATGTTCTTTTCCTCTGTGTAGATTAACCTCATTCCAAAATCCACTAACTTTAAAAATCAGGCAGTATGGTCTAAGTGAGCGTTTGTCCTCAAAGATTTTACCACCAGAGCTTTTGTTAAGAGTTGTCTGCTATTAGACTGCACTACAGTTCTTTCTGGTTTTGCATATTTCACCATGAGATGAGAGACTGTGTTGCTAGAACAGAAGGCACATGGAATTAAGAGTCCTGGCATCTCGACTCCTACTGGGTGGCTGGAGGCATCCTTGCTGGCACTGTGCTAACAACAGCTGCACAAGGGCTTTTGCCAGTTGCAGTTACCTATTCGTGGCCTTGTGCTGAGATGCAATGTGATAGCATGCATCTTCTATGTCTATCAGTGCATATGTTGCAGAAAGCATGCAGCTTCTCAAAATTCTGCAGTGTAAAGTTGATTAGTATGAGCAAAACTTATTAAAACTTACTGAAGGCGGCTAGAGCAGCAGGTGCTCTTCTGGTCCTCCAGTGGGGAAGTGTGGGAGTGTGCCTTTGACACTTACACAGTGTGCTTCATAGATTCTGCATTTGATGGCTTGTGTTTTAATGGTAGTTTTAAATGGTAACTTAATTTATGATAATTATAAATGGTAATTTTACCTCTTGAGCAGCTGATGGTTTCAGAGCGGAACTGGAAACAGGCGTTATTTATTGTTTAATGCATTGTGATATACAAAAGTATGGTTTTTGTTTATATAATAGCTGTAAAGTTTGTAAATAAATTCATAAGATCCAGTTTTAAACTGATTGTACAGCTCTTTCATATTCATCTTTGGAAGATTTACTGTTTCCTTAAGTTCACGTTGCCTATTGAATGCAATAGAACGTGAGCTAGAATATCAAGTAAGAAGTGTTGGGTTTTATGTCACTCCATCCTTAAAGTTTGTCTTCTTTATTTTCCCAGATACTACTGTGCTGTTCTGGCAATGGCCATTATGACTCTGTGTATACAAAACAATTTCAAGCAAATGCTGCTATTTGCCAGGGTAAATTTGAAATTATTGTGTTGTGTTTTGTTTTATTATGAAAGAGAACTGTGTGCTTTTGTATGTTTATAGGCTGTGCTTATTCTGGTTTCCAGAGACAGGGAGGGCGAGAGATGGCAGCTCATTTTTTGTGTTAATGTATGCATACTCTCAGTATACTTATCTGTTAAGTAGCATAATGAACCAAGTGCCCTCCATATGTCTCTTTTCACCTGAATTATTTTATGATCCTCTTCTTAATTGAATTCAATATATGTAGTGTTTTGTAACAGTGAATATTGCCTAAAGATATGCTTACCTTGAAAATAGGAGCTGTCGTACGTCTGATATTAATTTGTTCTGAGCTTTGTCTTGGTTTGTCCAGCTGTATTATATGAAATCCTGTACAAAGATGTGTTCCTCATGGATGAGGAAGAATTAAGGTCTGCAGTTGAGATGTTTCGAAGTGGTTCCAAGAAGAACAGAAACAGTGGCTGTGTAGAAAGCGAGGATACAAACTTCGATTGTCTGCATGAAAAAGTACCCAGAAATCCATCAGGAAAGAGGTAGTGTTTGATGGGGGGTTGTATGGTAGCAGGGAAATGTTGAAATAAATAAAGTTTAAAACCTTGCTAAGGGCAGTGGGTTAGTAGGCTGATTTCTCCAAGTTCCTTTGAATGCGCACGTGGTACTAACAGTGTTTCGTGGCATAGGCTCAAAGCTGAAGTGTGGTGTAGAAGAGACAGTGTACTTCAGAGCTTAGTACTGTCATGGAATTGGACATCCTCTGCTACTGGCTGTGTTATATTTGCATGCAACTTTGTAAAATGAGTGTTTGTAAATAAAATCTTCCCTTTGTCATCAGAGTTCTCTTGATGAGAGACCTACTAGCTTCCTCAGCCTCTTTAGCTTTGTACAGGCAACAGTTTATTGAGAAAATTAACTATTTGTATTTTTTCCTTAATTGAATTGTACCCCATATAGACAATTAAATGGGGGAATCGTTGAAGTCTGCTGGATCCGTTGGAGTGAGGGGAAGAAGCGAGCATACCTGCTGAAAACCTTGATGTTCTTTAATCACAAGTCACCACAAAGGCTTGAGGCAAAGTGTGTCTGTTAGTAAAAGCTTTCAGGTGACATTGGTTTTGTAGTGCCTGGAGCAGAGTGGTGTAATAGTCAGCAGTGAGAGTTCAGATGTATTCAGTGGGGTCATCTTCATCCTTTCCAAATGCAAATAGTGGCTATCCTTAGGGATAGGTTTGGGGGTGGTAAGGGTCATGATCTTAAAACTAGGAAAAGACTTGTCCTCTGCTCCCTTACAGCCTTTGTTTCAGGCAAAATCTGCCACTTGATGGCACTATGGTGCTTTTTTCAGGTTTTGTGAAAAGTTAGTTATTTTAACCCTTCTTAGAACTTATGCATTGCATCGTTTGTAATCTTATTTTAAATTGTTTAGAGGTGATGACTGGGAAGGCAATGATCCTGACAATCCAGTGGAAGATAAGTTCAGACAAGGCACTGAAGAAGCAAAGGTTTGGCAATTAGGGAAGAATTTCTTGTGTGTGGTTGGGTGTTTTGTGTTTTCTCCTCCTGTTGTTGCAGAATGTTACCTACGTTAGGGTAATGTTTCTACTTCTTAAAAATAACTTCTTGAAAGCAGATTGCTTTTTTTTTTTTTTTTCCTTTTTTTCTTTCTGTCTGCCTGTCTTTTGATTTTTTGCCAGTTTTTCTTGAATTGGATAAGCCTTACTCCTTTTTGAGATCCTCTTGTTCTTTTATAGCTGATGTCTGGCTTGTTGGGTTTTTTTTTTTCCCTCCAGAAATTGAGCTCAGCAGACACTTCCTGGTTTGCTGTTTGCTTGTCTGAAAAGTGGCTTAAGTCAGCCCACTTTCATTTTGAGCACAGTGTAAATATCTTTGGAACAGGTTTTAAAAGGCCTTTAGATGCCTGTTTCCAGATGTAACAACTGGAATTCCCACCAATTTTTAAGTCGTGGTTTCATTGGTCTAACTAGTTTCTCTTCACTCAGAAAGAATTGAAGGAATGCAGAGTGTTTCTCTTAAGACTATTTTTGATCTTTCTGTAGTCTGTCAGCTTAGCTTCTGAGTTGAACAATCCTCAATTCCTAAATTCATGTTTATGTTCTTGGTCTTTATTCTGCATAGTAGAAGTGAAAGTTTGGGGAATTTGGGTGTAGACAAATGGTCCATAGTTGGTAGAATAGAGATTATGCTGAACATTTTAAATGTGTTTGTTAATGATAGTTCATTTCAACTCTATTTCTAGACTCCAGAAAATTCCTCAAAAATGCCTTTCCCCTACAAAGTGCTGAAGGCTTTGGACCCAGAGATTTATCGAAATGTGGAATTTGATGTTTGGCTGGACAGCAGAAAAGGTATCTTTAAATCAAAAAGTCCTTAAATCCAAACCTTATTTTTGCTGTGAGCTCAGAATTAAATGTATGAATCTGATGCTTTTGACACCTTCTTTCAGTACAGCTGAGGTATGAAGGATATTAGTTAATCCACTTGATATTTGTAGGTAATATGTCCTCTTACCAGAGCTATTTCTTGGTTTCATTTCAAAATACCAGGTCCTGTTCTTGGTGTTGTATAATGGTTGTAAGGTTGCTAAAAATCTGACGCCTGATGCTTAATGGCTATAATGTAGGAAATACCAAGACTCCAAGCAGAGTACAGAACAGAATTCTGTGTTACTATTCAGTTGTGCTGGGAGTCATCCAAATTTGAGCCTACAGGTGTTTATTTTTAATGGTATGCCTGAGGACTCCTAAAGCAGCGTTTTAGATTGTGTTCTGTCATAATGAAGGTCTCAGCTTTAGCAGTGAGATATGTCACATGAAATGAGTTGTCTTTTGCTTCCCAGCTCTCCTGGGCTTGAGCATCCTAGAGAGATTTTGTGGTCTTTGTGGGTTCAATAGTTGCTGTTTTATGGCAATACACTGTGGCTGGTGTGTGAACAAGTTGCCAAGGAAGATGAATTTTGAAGTTGCATCATTGATATTTGACCAGGAGAACTTTGCATACTGAAGAACTCCAGCATCTTCACAGCTGCATAAGTAACAATGATTGTCATTAAATTCTTGAAATGGAGTACTGTAACTAATTATCTGTGTTGAGTACTGATATACAGAGAACCTGGGCAGGGAATGGGGGGGGGGGGGGGGAGAAAAGATTGAAGTCTGAAAACAAGGGAGAAAGCTGAATTAACACAGTACCATCATAAAGGGCACAAGCATTGCAGTACGTAGGTTAAGTAGGCCTACTACTTCATCAGCTAGATATTGTTAATCTCTTATGACTTAGGTAGTTATGGTCTAAGAGCAACTAGAGTTACTTCATCATTACGGTGAGGAATGCTTATATATACATAGGGAATGTTAACACACCTGGCCGTTAATTAGTAACTGAGAGTCATCATGAAGTATTTATAGGGTACTTGAAGAAAGAACAGTATTTATTAGGCTTTTCTCCTTTTTATTTATTTATTCGTTTGTTTTTAGAGCTTCAAAAAACTGACTACATGGTGTTTGCGGGGAGACAGTACTATTTAGGAGACAAGTGTCAGGTTAGTACTCAAAGGAGGTTCAGTTATGGTAAATTACTAAAGCTACTTCACATGGAGCATGGTAATCCATGAAATGACTTCATAGAATCTTCCAGGGCTTTTCTCATTTTCTGTCTTGTAATTATTAATTTTATTTTAGTTTTTAATTAAATTTCTTCCTAAAGATCTTTCTTTAAATATTGGGCGTGAATGAAAAGCTACTTGGAAATTCATTGAGAACCAGTGATACAAATAATGTGAATGCTGAGGTTCTGCACTGGGAGCTCAAAGTGCAAAGTATGTGCAAAACTGAGGTAGTTGTCTATTAGATTTTCACTGGAAGTCACCAGCAAGTCTGTCCAGTCTTCTGCTTCTCAACGGTAACGTAGCAGGTTTCTTTTAAGTAACTGAGAGGGAAGAGAAGAGTGGCTGGGAAATGCTGAAATCAAAGTCAACTTCCCTTTTGTTCTCATGTTGTATGTAGTGAAGGTGTACTTCTTAAAATCACTTTGAGGTGGTGCTGATAAGTCATTTAGTGACTCTTCTTGCTCACTAGAGCTTTCTTGCTTTATTTTTTGTTCTGCTCAAGTTCTTACATAGTGGTCCTTATCTGTTTGACACAGAGTGTGAAAGTAAGTTAGAAGGCAGAAATCGATCTTAAGCCTGTTTTACAGGAGTTTACACATTGCTTGCAAGACTGTTTCTTTTCCTTCTTTTCTTAAAGTAGTATGGTGCTGTCTATCTTGCCTGGTCTGTTAGTATTTGATATTGCTGAGCCCAGCTCATAACATAAAATCAGCTAGGGGGTAGGAACTTTGCTGGTTTGTAGGCAGTATTTGGTCCCCTGATGCTGTTTAGTTTTTTCAGGGTTTCCCTTGTTCTCCCTCCAGGTGCGTCTGGATCCTGGAGGTAAGTATTACAATGCTCATATCCAGGAAGTTGGGCAGGATGGCAACACGGTGACTGTTTTCATTGAGGAGCTGGCAGAAAAGTAAGCAATCTGGTGACAGTTTCATGTCTGAACTTTTTATAGTGGAGTCTGTGCAGTCACAGATGGTTAAGATAGGGTTGTTAAGATACTTTAAGAAGAAAAGAGAAATGAGGCTTTGAAATAATTGTGGCTGCTAGAGGGAGACTTGCTTCTTTGTTGGTTATCTCTCTTCAACTAAGATGTTACAGGAAAAATTCACCTATTTAAAATAGCAAAAATCATGATGCTTTATGTGGAGTCTTATTCTTCTCAAGAATCTCTGCAGTTTGGGCATAACTCCTGGATAGCAAGTTATTCTCTGCTACCAGTTTCTCTGAAGCTTTTATGTTGTAATCCCAGAAAATAATGGATGTTTATGTTGAATCTCATCACACTCACCACCTTGCTGTTCAAAGCATTTGCCCTTCTCCAAATCTGCAGTTAGGCTTACCTACATTTTGCAGAAATTCTGTCTCTTTAATTGCTTCCGGATAGACTTCTGAAGGCATACCAATGTAGGGAAAAAGGGCTTGACCTGTGAAGTCAGTAGCATTGGGACTGAATCCTACCTTACCTTTTCTAATGTACAAAATATACAAGTAACAGTAATACGTGCTTCAGAGAACAAGCTTTTTTTTATTCCCCCGAAGCTCCCTATAGTCAATGATTTTGCCTTTTCCCTATTTTCTTTTTTGTAGTGTTGCTTCAGCATATGTTGCTGTGTTCCTGCACATAATGTATTCTTGCAGCGCTGCTAACATGAATGTTTTTCATGTAGGCATACCGTTCCTTTGGCAAACCTAAAACCAGTGACACAGGTGGCACCTGTCCTTGCTTGGAATGTGGTTCCCAGCCGAAAAGGAGGAAGCTATCAGAAAGTAGCAGGTGGATACTTCTCAGGAATAGGTTTGTACAAGTTTTCCAGAGGTGTTCCTTCCTTTAGAGAGAGGTAGGATAGGGAAGGACAAATTTTAGCAATACCAGTCCCTAGATGTTGAAAGTAACTTAACTTGGCCTGTGATATAAAATCTAGTTGTGACAAGGACTTCATGTAAACTGATGCTTCAGACAGAAGGTTGAGTTTCCATATGTAAAATAGCAAACCCCTTGAAAATACACAGAAAGGTTCATGTTGCTCAGAATTTTAAGAAGAGTTTTGACATTTGAGAACTATTTATGAAGATTCGATCTGTGAGCCAAAAAGTATATCAGATTTGGCCTTAGAAGAGGTGTATGGAAGGATTAGAGTTTTGCTATTGAAGTAAACAGGAATTGTATTTGTTTTGTTTAGAGAATGGTTTTCTGATTGAATAAATGTAGCTTTTATGAAGGTGTTTGAATACTGCAAATACTAGTTTGATCAGTTGAAACTGGGAATGTGTTCATGTGAGCGAGGTGCTTGTATGCAGTTCAGAATGCATGTTAGGTTCTTCAAAATGAGGATATGAAGTTTGTGTGTTTTGGATGCTTCTTCCCTGCCCTGGAATAGGCTGTTGATTCTCTTCGATATATCTAAATAATGACTCTTCTCAAATGATAGAAAGAAAACATAGCTCTAGAGTAAGCTGCTTAAAGTATAAACCTTTGTTTTCTGTCCTTAACTGAAACTGCAGAAATGGATGTGAAAACACGGAAGAGATTGCTTAAGAAAGTTCGTGGAAAGGAGGTCTTTATGACAATGGCTTATAGTAGGGGCCAGCCAGTTCTCCCACCCCGGCTACAGCATGGTGTTCCCTCAGGGCGCTCTCCTCCAGTTCACTGTTCACAGGGTGGTGGAAACATGGCACCTTATGGACCCTATCATCCTCAGAATCCTCCCCAGAGGCATAACCGTGGATTTGGAATGCCAAGGTATGAAGCCTTATCTGAGGTTACTGCTTGTTCTCTGTTCTTGCTGTGGACTAGTTAGGAGAGAGCTTGTGCTACTTAATAGATAACTCTATAGAAGAGTTCCATCTGAGAGGCACTTCCTGGTAATTGCACCTTTTACCCTTTAAACTTAGGGGATCTGCCCGATTTATAAACAGGCACAACATGGTTGGCCCTCAAATAGCATTCTACCCCAGTCCAGGAAAGAGATGCTATCAGAGCTATGACAGTTTCTCCTGCAGGTCACGGTAAGTGCATACTAACCTCTTTACAGAACATTGAACACCAAAAGAGCTGGGGAGGGTGGTGGGAGAGGGATGTAGAGGGCTGAGTTAACTGTTAATGGCACAGTATTGAACACTGGGATTATTGTGCCTTTCTGAAGAGAGTTAAAATCGAGCAACAAAACTAAGGTGAAAATCCAGATAGCAGTAATTCTTAACCTTTTTTTTTTTTCTTTTAAGTTCATACAGCCGTAGCCGCCGTCAGATGCAGTGTGTGAATAAGGAATGTCAGTATGGGTTTGTACCAGAGAATGGAGAAGAGCCTCAAGGGTCAGAAGAAACAATAACTTTCTATGAAATTGAAGAAGGGGATGAAACTTCTTTTCCTGCTTTAGCAGTAAGTTATGAATGATGAGTATGTTGAAGCTTCTCAAAGCTTCTTAAAAAATTATGCATTATAATTAAATATTATTTTTTTCTTGGAATGAGCTTTAGCAGGAGGGGAAGGGAAGGCTGAAATTGGAGGAGATCTCGAAAGCTCTGCTTAAAGCATCTAGTTTTCTAAGCTTTTCCTTTCTTTCTCTTGTTCCTCTTTCTGTCCAGCAGCATTTGTTTTGTTTTCTCTTTAGCGTGTTTTAATAAAATTAGGGCTGTATTTTTACTTCCCATGACAATTTGAAAATGAGATTTGGGGGAGAAAAAATTGCTTCCTACAGTCAGTGTCTGTCTGATTGTAAGTATTGCGGGAGGTAGTACTTCAGTTGTTTTGCTGTACTCTTAATTTGTGGTTTGAGTAACTAGTTTCAGAAGCTGTACAGTGATAGCGTGGATTATTCCTAGGAATTCACAGTTGAGATGTTTTGGGCTAACATTCCTGAAACCATTTTTTCTGCTGCAGAGATGGGAGAAAAATCCAAATCTAGCTTCTTTTAAAAACTTCATAGTGTGCTACTTTCATCTTCAATCTAATACATTTTTAAACAGTGAAATCAATCTTTCAATTTTTATCTAAGCTTAATACAAGTTACACTTGCATTTAAATAGATGAGAGGATGAATCTGCTCAGTGTTTTTTCAGCAGCCTTTGTTTATTCATCTGCCTGTTAAATGTGTGATCTTTGCTCTTTTCTTCCAAGGCTGTCAAGAAGTAGGGGCAATATCTTATAATGCTCCTTTTTCTTCTCCATTCCCCCTCCCATTAAATCAGGATAGATTTCTAGCTTGTTTTTTTTCCTTCCCATTGCTAAGCTGTACACCTGTGGCATCCAATGAGTAGTTTTTCATGTTCATTCAGGCACTTTGTTAGTGTCAATGCCTAAGTCTCTTCCCTGCATCTTTTCTGTCTCCTTCACTGAAGGAATTTAACATGTCCTGGGGATAAATGTTTGTTGCAGAAAAATCTGCCATCCTGCTAGAGGCCTGGTGGGAGAATCTTCTGACTCAACACCGGTACTTCACTGTTGGAGATCTTATAAGCCTCTTTTTCAGTCTCATAGCTGTCCTATCTTCTGAGGAGAGAGTGAATGTCATAGTCATTACAAAAGAGTGAATCAGTTTCTCTTACTTATGCTCATAATCCTGTGTTCCTCCTTTTGAGGACTCTAGATTGTAATTGTCCAGCTAAGGGCTGGCTTTATACAAAGACAGTGTGGGAAACGTGATGAGCGCTGCTCCCTGAATATGACAAGCATGTCTGTGTGGATCCAGCTAGTGCAAACAGCGGGAGCTATGCCAGCTGCCAGCCATGTGCTATTTCTGGATGAACTCATTGGTTGTTGGTGTGGTGGGAGTACCTCAAGGTGAGGAATACAGGAGTATATACTGGAGGTAGAGAGTGGCTGGTAGGGGTCTGCTTCCTTTTTCAGCTTTGGTTGAACCTAGGTCAGAGCTGGCTACATTCTGAGAACATCTTGACCCTGTCATATAGGACAGCTGTAAGTCTTCAAAAATAACTTTTGCAAAAGATGGTAGGCAGAATGAAAGGTAAAAGAGAAATATGTCCTATTGGGTGCAGGGTGCAAAGAGATGGATGGAGGAGCTGAATTCTAGTAACCTTTGGTTACAGCAAGTTTGGTTTTCCAGCCTGTTTCTATTTGGCTGTGTGTTAAATATGGAAAGTCTTATACTATTTATAAATGCACACTTCTTATTTTGCTTTTTAGGGCCAGGGTAGCCCTACTGCAATTGTCCACAGTCCAGCAGGTTTTTGGGTAGCTAGAAGAGGCCCCAACTCAGTTCCAGCCAACAAGCAGCCCCTGAATCCCTCAGAGGAGGATGTAGGAGAAACAAGTGAAAATGGTGAGTTCTTAAAGAGTTAGTTATCTTTGTCTGATTTAAAAAAAAAAAAAAAAAGAAAAAGTCACTGTTCCATTAAAGCTTGCTAGAACATCACTATTTTGATAACATGGGTTTGTAGCAAGGCAAGCTGCTCTGTGATCTGGCAATAGCAATCTTGATATTGCTGGAATAGCAAAATGGGGAAGAGGATCTTGGATCTTGCTATTTTTCTGTATAAAACAAGATGATATTGAAAGCAGTTCAGTTAATTAATGCAGTGAAATACAATTTTAGTAACTTTGGCTTGAACTTCTATTTTTCTGGAATCAAAGCTTTCTGTTCGCTCCCTTCTAGGGAAATTTCATGAAGAATATCTGTATGCACCTCCAGGTAAATAAAATGTTAGTCTTTACAGATACTACGTTTGGTGTATGTGCTCATTACAACTTTTTAAAAAGGTTCTGAACAATTAGATATAATGCTGTATTTTTTTATTAACTTTGCCTATGTCTTTCAGATCCAGACTGTGAAACGGCAGCAGTATTTAGTTCAGCAGAACCTACAGCAAACTTGGTAAGTGTTTGTCCCTGCCTGTTCAGATTCCTAATCTTCAGGTATGTGTAACATTCTTCATGGAACCTGTCTTTGGAACCAGGCTTAACATACTAGGTCAGAAACTGGTTTTGTCACAAAGGATTGATAGTTTTACTTCTGTAGTTCTGCCCTCCCATCTCCTTTCTTTTTAAATGGTGAGGGTTTTTGTTGGAGTCTATAAGTACATCTAAACTGTACTTTCTATCTTTCCCCTCTGCCAACTGTCTGAGCACTGTTTACTTTTCTTCTTTTTCTGTTCCAGACAGCACTTGCTTTTGCCATGCCTCTCGTCAAGTCATGTACTAGTTAGTCTTATTCCACCCACCAATGTGTGATGGAAAATATCTCACCTTTGATAGAACTGGCATTGAATTTTCTTATCTGAAACTAGTCAGTGGCTACCTTTCAAGTTCTCCATTCACCTGCTGAACTACAGTGGGTGTGAAATCCAGTCCTGTGCACATCAGATGAAACTGATCTCTCATGAGTTATGAAAGGAGCTTAGTGTAGTTCATAATTGGAAGATTCTTAGAAATCCAGCAGTTGTGGTTTTGTTACTTCTCTGCTTCTAAAATGGAACATTACTTTGGAATCCCTTCAGGAAGAAGGGCCATTGGCTGTGTCACCTCAAGATGGAGTGGCTTCCTACAGCTATCCCCAGAAGGTAACATGTAGTATGTTACTGTGGTAGCTCTTTGGAGAGATGACTGCTGTGTTTGGTCTCTTTGGGATTTTATTCTTGCTCTCTTACACGGTTTTGTTACAAAGAATATAATCCTCTATAAATAAAGCATAATGGAATGGTGAAAAGATGTGTTTGCAAGTTCCTGCAACTTACTGTTATTTTCAGGTTGGCATTTTTCCAGCCAGTTTTTAGAGAAACTTGGATAACTAGCTGTCTGTACAGCTAGAGCTTTCAAAATGCATTTTTGTGAAGTGAAAACTTTTTGAGTCTGTGATGTTTCCATAGCTCTTGTCACAGCGAGTTATAGAGGTAATGTACTGAATACTCTGACTTTCTTGCAGGTGATGGTGAACTCTGCAGTAATTGCTACCTCCGCAGGTGTTAATGCTGCTCCACCTACAGTCTTCTCCTCAAACTCTGCCTCCACACAAGCCAGTGTCACAACAGCTGTTCCCCCACAAACAGCAATTCAACCTGTTCTTATATCTCCCACTTCTGTAGGGAGGCCAGGTAGAGTGTGCTAAGGCTTTGGTCTTTGATGGTCTAAGCTTTCAGTTGCCTTCTTCTCTCCTGCTTTGTTTCCACGTATCCAAAATAAATGTGGAAAATTACATGGCAATAAAGTTACACAGCTACTGATGACTTCCATGTTTCCATGCTTTGAAGGGGATGCTTGCCTCTGTTCTTGCATGGGAACTGGCAGTCTCTGCTCTGGGGTTGTTTCCCTCACCCCACCTGTCTTTATCCTTCAGTGCCAGGTGTTTCACTACCAGGTTCCTTTTTAAAGACAGGTTCATGGTTGCTTCTCCCTGTTTTGTATGGTTAATTTCTGGTATGTTGGGCTACTGGTGCAAATTTCAAGGTTTTACTGTATCTTCCAGTAGAGTCACAAGTTCGAGCACTGAATCCAGTTCATTTTTGTGAATTGTTTGTCTTAAGAAAAAGACTTCCCTTTTACAAAGAGGATTTTTCTTGGTTTCCGTACCTTTTTGTTTAGCATGAGGGGAAAAAAAGAAACCCTCCTTCTACTTTTCTATTTGTTTGATTATTTTTTTTCGCACTTGAGAGTGCAGTCGGTGCAGTTCTCTGTAAGCTGTCTACTTGATGACAGCTTTATGAGGAACCTGCCAGTGTTCTAGAGATGTGGGCCACCTAATAAATATTCAACAGAAATTTGTCTACAAACTTCTGCCTGATACTTGAACGTTGCCTTATTTTTGTAGGTTTATTGTGATGCTTTTGATGGCTTAGAGTATTCTGTTCCCTGTTCTAGGACAGATAATTATGTAAGAAAAGCCTGACCTACTTCTAGTATGAAGAACTGATTGAAAAAGAAACGTTTGTTCTTAACTGAAATATGAAGCTTGAGAACAGACAAACAGCTAAGGCATCTGAAATTGGAACCTTCCTATCTGGTTTTAAAATTTCTTTTGGGCTTCTTTTAAAGTGGGAGGGAAGCAATTATTAAAGAGAATTGAAGTTAGTCACTGAGCTGTAGGGAAGGAAGTCCAGGCCTGACTGTGTAACTTACCATTTTCCTTGCTCGAATAAGAAGCCATTGTAAACTTGACTTTTGTTTCCTTCTAATAGTACCAGTTTCTTCACTGCCATTCCCAATTTATTCAGCTCCTCTTCCTCCAGCCAATGAGATGGGAGAAGCTGGTGCCATTCCTCCACCTTACTCTTGTGATCCCAGTGGCAACGATCTGCCTAGAGGTAATGAAGATGTTTTGTTCTTTCTATTATTGCTGCACTTCAGCACACTTCTGACTTGTGTTCTTTATGATACTGAACAGAATACCTGTAGTGACAAGAAATGGCTCCCTGCAGCTCAGAGGCAGATAAAAATATTTTGATGCTTATGTTAAAAATTCCTAGTTCTGAATACTAAGTTTGTATCAGGCTCAAACATGATTTACCACAACTTTAGACCACATCCTAAAGATCCAGGTATCAGTGGAGAGTAGAGTGCATGTTCTGTATCTTATCAGCACTGCATGGAATAATTTTTCTGATAACTTGATTTTTTTTTTTTTTTTTTTTTAAATGCATTGAAAGTTCTGGTATTGCACAGTTCAGTGGATATTGTGTGTTGTCCTATATACTATATAGAAAAAATATATATAGTATATACTTCTATATAGAAGTGTTACTCTTAGATGCCATTCTGTATTATCATAAATATGAGTGTAAGGGTTTCTGTTCTGTGAATGCACAGCCTTTCTGTATACTGTCATTGGTTATAACAGCATTTTTTAAGGTGGATTTTTGCTCCCAAGCAACAAGCATGGAAGGACCAATGCAGTAGCCATAGCACTCAAAATTGGCTTTCAACTTTGTCAGCTGAACTTGAGTTTCGTTGTGGTGGTCTTTAATCAGCTGGCACTTTCTGCTTAATACCTGCATGCTGTGCAAAGTTGCATCAGGCAGCATAGCTTGGTAAACAGCGCAGCAGCAGTGCTTGATTTGGGAGTTTATTAATATAGCCCCTTGTTCTGTCATTGCGGCTTTCAGGACACAAATTGGGCCTGGAGTTTGCAGAATTCTGTTTAATAACCTAAAGATCAAGCCATCTGCTGTCCTCGACTGTGAGTTAAGTGCCTCAGCTATAAGAATGACAGTGCTGCTTATTGTTATGCTATGTATCTTGCTTTGCTGTAGGTAGGAATGCTCTGAGGCCCAAGAGTGCCACTATCACATCGCTGCACACATCTCAAAAGGCAGATAAAACTATTGTGATGCACTGTCTCAGCTGATAAAGAATTTCATGGCTGTATGTAGTTTTGGGCAGCTGTAGAAAATCTTTCTTCCCTGCGCATGTCCCCGTGCTCAGCCCTCTGATGGTGCACTGGCTCAAACTGCCCTAAGGAGTAAAATTTAGAAGAACTGTAAAAGCAGATTTGGTTACTCAACCTGCTTATTGAGGAAGGTTCATTTGGTCATAATGTCATGCTCAGGCTGGAGCACAGATGCTCTGGATGAGTGCTGGTGTTCAGTCATGGCTTACCTGTGTTGCAGCTGCAGTGAATACAACAGCTTCAGCTGTCACTGCCTCTTTTGGCAGGTAGCACACGGGCTGTTTTTGGCAGTACTGAGGCCAAGCTAAAGATGAGCTGTAGCCTGTACTTGAGAGCAGCAGTGCAGAACTGTCAGCTTGTGTTTGTTGTTCTTGCACTGGCTCTATCTCTGCGCGTTGGCCGAAAAACATGTTTTTTATGTATTCCTCTCATAAGACTGGGTTTGAATGTCTGTGTGTGTTTCTGTAGCCATCTAGAGAGACAGAGAGGCTGCTGTGACTTTTATCAAAGGCTTACCTTTAGCTGGAATACCTGAATCTCCCACTTTCTCTTCTGCTAATATGGACAAGTAGCCTTTCATTTAGGGTTGAACAAGGAAAAGAACCGTCTGCATAACTATAGGGTCTGTAAAATCCATTTCTTTTTCCACCATTTTGAACGCCACAGTTTCACTCTAGCTATCTGACTCGATTTCTTCACCACCATCACCCTGGAAAAACAAAACAAAAACAGCATACTCTTGGAACTGGCTGTATTTTAGATGTAGGGCAGTTCTGAGTTCTACTGCTTCAGAATAGAAAGCTTCTTACTTTTATTCTGAAATCTATTTGAAGGTGGAGCATCAAATACTTCAGTAATGCAAATTGTCTTCATGCTCAGTTCAGCATACTGCCATTTGAAGTAGTTTCATTGTCCCTGTGTGGAAGTCTCATGAAAGTACTAATCCTAGAGGGCCAATCTTAGATAATATAAAGAGCTACTGTTTATATCTACAGTTCAGATAGCTGCATCTGCTGGATTGTAAAGCAGCTTTGGGCCAGAACGTTAAGGATTCTTTCAGTTGCATTTACCATGTAACATGTTTATTTTGCCAGCCGTTGATCTGGAAGTAAGCAGGATGCAAAAACTTCATGGCAAGACTGCTCAAGGTCTTCTCTTAGAGGCATTGCTAATGTGTTTTGCAATAACTCCTTTGCTGGTATTCTCAATTGCTGTTTTTTAATCTGGAGTATTTGACTTCCTGCTTCCCTACTGCAGCAGTACCACTGGAGATTATTTTATATACACATCAGAGTTAATTGTCTTCCGCTTCAGTTAAATGCCTTTTACTGAGGCTTTCAGCACTTGGGAGAATTGGGTGTTAAGTATGCTGACAAGAATCTGCAGTGGATGTGGATTAATAATCTCTTCAGACCCTTGCCTGCACCTCTTCAGCTCTCTTATCGTCATATTGGCCATGTCCTTCTGGGGATAGGCTCCAATTTTTTTTTTTCTCCCCAGGATTTTATGGTTAGTAGCTATAAGAAGTTGCATGTAGCATTTTTCCTTTTCTACAAGGAGACACTGAGTGTCACTGCAGTGTCACTGCATAATCTTTAGGTTGAGAAATCCAGCAGTTTTGGAGTAGGGCATGTTAAAGTCTTTGTGTATATTTGTGTATACTTGAGAGTTCTGTGCAGTTTGCTTGAAAAAACAAAAACAGAAAACCTGTATGACTGGTATTTGGCCTGGCATGGTTTGAAATCTGACTTTAACAGGCTGAAGTCACAGACTGGTGAGGAAGACGGTGCCTTATTATTCATTGATACAGCTGTATCCCAATTCCCAGAGTTGCTGGAATATTTTTAGTGACATTTAGGGCTTGTGAAATGGCTTCTATTAACACAGTGACCTTAGGTATCTTACTCTCATCTGCTCCCTCGCGTTTGAAGCAGCTGCGTAGGCTGCTTGCTGTTCTGGAGACTGCTCCTTTCCTATGGCAGCATTCAGGATTGATCTGAGCTACTCACCTGAAAAGCAGACTTTGTCCTCATGCACCCTAAGATTAAATTTTATCAGTAGTTGATGTGATCTTCATATTTTCATGCCATGGTGGTGAACTTCTTCTGGCTTAGCTGTTATTTCACATGGTAGTTTTGTTATACTGAAGACTGACTTGACTTCTAGACATCTGAAAGAGGAATATAGACGAAAAACTGGTCCCCTACTGTAGTGGCTTCTGTTGCAGAACTCTCCAGACATCAGTATTTCCTGTTTTAGTTTGTCACCTCAGTCTTCCAGCTCCTCCTTTGTACTGTTATCTCTGTTATGAAGCAGCTGTTTCATTCAGTTCTTAGGCTTGTTTTGCATATATTTGCATAATCAATTGAAAAAGAAAATCAGATTAAAAAAATCATTTTTCCAAGGTAGACGCAGCTTCAGCTAGATACTAAGAAGCTGACATTTGTGTGAGCCTTCCAGTTATTTTTAATATTTAACTGGTTAATGTCAGAGCCAAATCAGCAGCACTTTTGAGCGTAAGCTGTTAGCTGTTTTTGGCAAATGCACACAGATCCTTCCTTGCGTTTAAGTAGATTGTGCCCTGATGTGTCCAATATGCTGAACAGTGAAAGAGTTGAGAATTGGCAAAAGAGGAACCAGTCCTCATTCATTTCAAAGTAGGGATTTGCATTTCCCATTCTATTCCTGCTTGCAGTAGACAACAATACTCAGTACTAGAGAAGAGCAGAGCTATGAAAGCATGCGTGTGCAGTAGCTGAATAGCAAGCAGGAAAGCCATGTGGAGGCTCTAGTTGAGGGAAGAACAGAGGTGGTAAGAAATCAGCAACACTTCCAGAGTTCCCATATAACTCACAGTTGAAATCCTTACTGGCTTGCTTATCTCAAGTCGTTCTGCTTTGCTGCTTTGATTTATTCAGGTCCTCTCAGTACTGATTGAGACCTAACCTGTTGCTGTGGAACAGGTGACTATCCTTCCTGAGCCTTTAAAACAAGTCTTTATTAAAGACTGAGAAATGAGTTTCTTATGCACTGTTCTGTTACTGCATCATGGGTTTAAAACATGCTTGCTTTTCTGCTTTCACTGGCAAACCTGGAAGGTTTTAAACAGCTTCACTCTTCTGGGACTGTTAAGACTTTGAAAATCATATTATGCTTGGCAACTCTTTTTAAAGTTCTTCTAAGCTGCTGGGATTGCTGGGAGCAAGTTCTCCAGTATACTGAATAGACATCTAACTGGATTAGCTTAAAGATGCAGTATTTATAGCAACCAGTTAAACTCAATATATACTTTTTACCCTTAAAACACTGAAGAAAAAATAATGCTAGAATAGTTACTGAAGTGACTTAAAATATTCTCGATGTATGTAGAATTCTTTATGCTCATCAGTTTATGCTCATCTGCTCTTTAATGCCGTATCCTTTAATTTCAGATACAAAGGTCTTGCAGTATTATTTTAATCTGGGATTGCAAGTAAGTGCTTTTAAAGTGAGTACAGCAAATTGCCTGTAAAAACTGCTGCTTTTCTTGGCAGATGTACTGATGTATTTAAGACTTCCAGGTGTGCTAAATGTGCATACTGTGTAGCTGACGATCATTACAAATAAGCTTGGTTGGAGGTGTTCTAACTCAGATGGTTTGAGTCCTCTGGGGTGTGCATGGCTCTGACCAGTTAGCACCATTTCTCTGTCTGGGAACCATTGCTCGAGCACTGTATGCAGCAGTTGTCTGTGCACCAGCAGTCATAGGTGACTCTGGAACTCTGAGAAGTAAAAGCACTATGCCAGATTCTTCAACTAAAGAAATGGAAAAATCTTGAATACAACAAAGTTGATTATAGAGAATCAGAACTCCCTCTTAAGAAATAAAACAGGTTAGAACTGAGTTGGTAGTTGCAGCTATTGCAGCAAATTTTCTGACAGTCTGTATTCTTTTTTTTCTCCTTCGTATGTAACATCATCCTACAGTAGCAGAAGGGAAAAATGCACATATTACTACTCTTTGATATGAAACAACTGGTGGTTTGGAGGAAGGATGGAGACTGTGGTTGTATGCCTGACCTTGTTTTCTTGTTTTTCTCCTCAAAGTACTATCACCAGAGTTACTGGCATTCCATGGTCTATGTACAGCCGGTGCCACCAGCGTCATCTGTGGAGGCTTATCCAGCATATGCTGAGCCAGCTCATGTCCTGGATCAGTCAGTACCTCAGCTCTATGATGCTGGGCGAGCTGAGGTCCATCAGGTTCCCCTCGATGCGCCTACAAATGGTTAGTATTTGACTATAAGAACACATACAGAAACTGTCAATAGTGAGGTTATGGCTTTCAGAGTATGGCTGCTCCACAGGAGTTGCTTTCTTACATCTTTATAGTATAGGAAGCATGGGTCATAGTGCAGACATTATAATGAGTTATTGTGAGTTCCTTAAAATAATGCTAGAGCCACTTTTGTAGGCACTGATGCCAAGGGCTGTTTAAAACCATGAAAAATAAGAAGTAGTCCTTTGTAGGTTTGTACTCGGTGAACTAATTTTTAGTTGGGGGAACTTACTCTGAAATTATGTTGAAGGTATATCTTCTTGCTCATTGATAAGCTAATAATTATGATATCAAAATAATGCCTGTTTTTAAAGTAAAAGAGACAACTCAGTTTTGGCAAGCCCTGAGCATTGCAACTTTCTGCAAAGACACTGCAAACCTTAGCTTTAGGCTCTGTGTGGAAAGCTACAGCAAAACTTAGTGTCACATGGCTGTGCAAGCAGCTTGTAGATGGACTTGGCAGTAAGAGGATTGTATCAAATGAAGAAAAAAATGTCAGGAAGGTCAGATGCCTGCCTCGACAAAATCTGAGGAATGTGGTGAATGATCAGTGCTGGGAAGGAGCGCATTTAACGGCGCTGTTGCTCAGATGTATGCAGGCTTAATGCTGATAATACTTCAGCCTGTTCATCAGGCGCAGTTCTGCTGTGTAAATATGTGTATTCTTTTCTTTCCAAGGTAACTTCCAAAACACAGAGCCTCCAGCCCTGTCCCATGGCACGGTGTATTACCCAGTGGTGTCAGACCCCTACAACCAGCCATCTGCTCCAGGATTTGACTCTTGCATCTCTCTAGTACCTGCCTATCACTGTATTGGCTCGTGGCATTCATTAAATCCCCCATATGGAAATTCTCCACGAGTTCCTAACGCTGTAAGTTCTGGACAGCTGCACCAAGTCAGCTATGTTGCCTCACCTAACCCTGCAACGCATTATGTGCATCAAGGAATGTAAGTCCAGGAGGGTGTGAGCTCATTTCTTGCACTTAGTTTTTCTCATGCCTTTTTTCATGAACTTACATTGTTTTGTAAGTCTTTGTCTCAGTGGGCTGGGGTGACTGATTAAATTGTGTTCGATTCCATGTTTCTTTCCAGGCTTATGCTAATGATAATCAGCTTGACAGGATGAAGTTTTGGTAGTTCATCTAAGGCAGCATAGGAGAGGCGTATACGTAAACTGTAGCACGGGGGAACACAATGTGTGTGTTAGACTACATAAAAAAATGTGTAAAAACATACTGTCACTAAGGGAAAATTGCATTACATACCCGTGTGAGTGGGTACACTGTAACACTTGAACACGTGGTTCTTGTACAAGCACAGCTGCCGTTACAACCACAGCAAAAAATTGGGTGCAGAGTTTGTTAGAGGACAGAATTGCTGGAAATAAGTTGGTGTTCTCGGATTTCACAAAACCAAACTTTGTTTGCCGTTGGTGATCACATATTTATAATATGTGATTTTGTTCTGTGTTGGCTTCATGTCTCTTAAAAGTGTAAGATACTGCTTCAACCTGTTCTACTGTATATCAGTGTGTGTTTGTAAGATGTGTTTTGTGAAAGCTGTTGCACGAGTGGTGGTAGTTCTGGTGTCTGATTTGCACTGATAGCACAAAATAAAAGCATCTAACCCGTGGAAATCCGTGGTTGTTCATTACCAGCACTTCATGTTCATGGGACTAAGTTACACAGCAGACAGCATTGAAGAAGTACTGTCTTGTTTGTTTCCTGCCTCCAGTGGGAAAGCATGGGCTTTTTCAGCATGAGACCACAGTAGCTCTAGCTGTTTCTGTACTCCATAGAACCTTGCACTGCATGTGCAGAATTATCATATGGTGGCTGCCAGCTGGAGCCTGCTCACAGCCAAGGACAGGGTGTTGGCATAGCCCTGTTCTAGGGGTAATGAGCAAGGGCACAGGTGCAGGTTAGGAGAGCTTGGTACCAGGGTCCCAGAAAAAGAGCAAAGTAATCTGTTTTCCCAAGGCTTGTGGGTTTGTTTTTTTTTTTTTTTTCCCCACATGAATTCAACGTTTGGGTGTTGGAGCTGCCTTCCGAAACTCACGGCTGCCAGATTTTGTAGGGAACTTGAGTTATTGTAATTGAAACACAGCCTGCATGGGGGACATATGGTACAGATAAGGAGGTGCTGTCAGTAGCTTCAGAAAGTGGCACAGTTGTTATTTGGTGAAGCTGAAAGTAATTGTGTGTGCCCCTGAATTTATACAGCTGAGCGGGGATGAAAAGAGGAGTGGCTGTGCTAAACAGAGGGAGGGCAGTATGCTTCCATCAGTATACCTGTTAAATAAACATGGGATTGGACCAAAAACAGCAGGAGAAAGTTGCTCATTATGAGTCTTTATAGGCTAGAATAAAACTATGAAGTTTTTTGCCCCTCTGTTAATAAAAGTGGTTATTTACTACTTTTGGCTAGGAGGTTGTATGCTTGGCTTCTAGTTTGTTTCTTCAGATCTCCAATTACTGCTGTACATTTAACTTGGGGGTTTAATAAAACTCTTTGAGTTGGAGGCGCCAGAGGGAAAATCAAGGTGTGAATGGAAATGATCCCTGATTAGCTGATATCATTTTGACCTGCTGTACTGCTTGGAAAAGATTCCCCAAAGGAACTGGAGACCATTAGGACTTCAGCCTCAGCATTTCTGCCCTTTTGAAAGAGTGCTCTTAACTTAAACAGGCCTTTATGAGAACAGGGAACAATGCCACAAGTTTTGTTAAAACTTCCTCCAAAAAATAATTCACTAGGTAACCTCTAAAGGGAATCTACAAACCATGTGACTAACTTTATGCACCTGAAGATTGAACAGATTTCAGAAGTGCAGTCTCCATCATGAAGTCATCAAATGTTTCCACTTCAGTCTTGAGTGCCATTATCTGTCACATCAAACAGTTGCTGTTAGCACTGGAGTGAATCTCTCCACTTGAGCTGTGAATAATGCCTCTTTCCTTACACTGTCAGTGAGACGGCCTTGCTTTTTTTCAGTGCAAATGGTTATTGTAGCTGGAAGTTATGTTTTATCTTTCTTTCTATTTGTCTCCAGGAGTCAACTTCTTTTTTTCCTCTTAGAAATACAGACCAACGATTGTGGTAGGGAGTCAAGTTTTTCTCTCTTCTCACTTATAGCAGCTAGATTTTTGTTAGTTGCATTAGTGACCCTGTTAATCACCTCAATTGATGTATATTTAAAAAGAAATACCACTGCGATTTTTACACTTGTAATCTGCGTCTGGTGAACTTGCTCGTGGATCTGATACAAACAGATACAAGCAGGCATCTCAGCTGTGATGTTTTTATCAGGGCTGTTGAGGCTCAGAAGCAATTCTTTAAAGCAGCACGCAGGGGTTGTGGAGCAGTTAATGTGCTGGAGCAGGTTCATCCCTGCCCTCTATAGGGTAGAAAATGTTGCTGCTGTATTACAGCATAAAGCTGTAATGTTAAAAATACACTGAAATAAGGGAGGGTCTAAGAGTTGCTGCTGTTGGAGTAGTGGTTTTGAGGACCTAGGCTTCACTGGGACCATGTGAAGGTGTGAACAGCAAGATTGGGGCTTAGGGTATTTTTTTCTTTTTTTTCTGTGAGGAGCCTGGTGTCGGATGATGGTCCAAATTTCTCATCTTTGGTTCAGTTACACATCAGAACCAGACCAACACTGTTTTGTGCCTGGCTGCATTGGGCACGAGCAGGGGAGTATGGCTTGCAGCCACATGCATATTTTAGCATTTATTTGAGTGGAGGTATAAAATCTTTGAGTATTGATTTCTGATTGGAACAATAATTTCCTTCAGATTGATTTTTTTTTTCCTCTCCTCTTTTGGTTTCTTGTTATATGTTGCATAATAATTAATTCTTTAAGTAGATTTGATCCTGAAATGCGTTGGTGTCGTGTATTTTTATTTTTTGGTGGCTGGATTTTCAGCTTGCCAAAGGGAGAAGGTTTGTGCTGCCAAGCCTGTGCCAGTCATGCTTGCCGCCTCCTTTTCCACACCACATTTCTCTGCATGAAAGGCAGCAGCTCGGAGTGGATTATCACCTGAAGACTGTGGGAAGGAGCCCTGGCACAGAACACTCCTGGCAGTGCAGGATGAAGTAGGCAGTGATAGCTGTAGTTTTCAGGTGTGGACTTTGTGTTTTTAAGTATTCCACCCTCTTCTAAGCTGCTACAAACCTTTCTGCCCTTAGAGCAGGCTCTTATCCAGCTGTTTGCCTACAGATCCGCCTGTGCCAGGGCACACGTCCGTTCCTGAGCACCGTGCACTGATGGCATGCTGCAGCCTGTGCTGGCTGAGGGGTGCTGGGCCACCCGGCTCCCTGCAGGCAGTGAGCTGCTCCTCTGCTTGTTAACATTCTGTACAGCGCTGCTGTGTGCTGAAGGCACAAGTCTCTGGAGTTTGTTGAATTGTAAAATCCATCTGTTATTGAAGGTAATTATTACAAATGCTGTAGAGACTAATCTTGCTGATTCTGCCTGCCGGCAGCATTGTCCTGCAGGGCTGTGCTGGCTGCTGTTCCCGTGCTGTTTTTCCCCATGGCCGTGCAAGAGTACCAAACCGACTCCTGTGGCTGTTGCTTTTCCAGCTCAGTTGTTTTATTTTAGCCTCCCTTTCTCTCTGCAGTGGTGCTGGAAATCCTTCTCGTTTATAAAATCACACTGTCAAAGGCTGCATGATGCGTGGGAGGTGCTCAAATTTTAAATCCAGACCCCCAGTTCAAAGTGCCCGCCCTTAAGAGGGAGGAAGGCAAAGCTCTCAAATTAGAACTTTGTGGCTTTGAAACAAGATCAGAATTTAAATGTTTCAAGGCAGAGCTCCTGCTGGTCGAGTCACTGCCACTCACAGCAATCTAGCACAGAGCAGTCCAGCCAGCAGTAGCCATAGACGATGGGCACTGCTCACAGCAATTCAGTCATTGCCACAAGCGTGCTGATCTGCAGCACCAGGAACACGTGTGTGAGCCCTAGCAGGGTGTTTTTACAGATTGAACTCATTTATGGTGTTCCATGTATTCCTTCTGCTGAACATTGCCTTCGCTGGAGCAGGTGAGCACTCTGCCACCAGCGTACCACGAGGTTAACAGCAAGGTAAGAGCCACACATGGCTGTGACAGCTGCTTGACGTCGCTGTGTTATGGAAGATGGTCCCAAGAGAAAGCGGTGCATCCTGCAAAGATGAAATTAGTGGACCTTCTAACTCCCTCTGCCCCTCTCCTTTGGGTATTTTTCCTGTTTTCTACCCTGCCTGTTGACATTCAAATTTCAAACTGTGGTTTCAGACTGCTTTTTAAACCAGTTTGTTTTGTATTTTTCAGAATTGAAAGCAAAAATGTTTAATATTTATGGTGATTACTTGAGCACATGATTTGTGTTTTCAGAAGTGCAGTAAGAGGAGATGGATTATACTGCAAAACTCCTTCTATCTCAGCCCACTTCCCTCCCTCCCTGCTCCAACCTGGTGTTCTCTGCTGCAGTGCATCCTTCTGTCCCTGTAGTCACTGTACAACGGAAGGTGTTTTCAGATGCAGTTTCTGTTCCTGAGGTAGAGAGCACAACTAGAGATTCAGGGTGCCTCAACTTTGAAATTCCAGGTTTTATGGTCGGAGTAAGGAATATGCACATCAAACTCTAAAAGAAAACAAAACCCAACAGTAATAATAAAATAAAATTGCAGCCTTCTCACATCCTTGGTGTGTTTACAACTCTGTAGCTGAGGACCGCTGCAGTCCTGAGCCTTGCTGCAGCTCTCACAGTGGGCTGTCTGTTCCCATGTGGGGCCACGTTGCCCAAACTGTACCAGGATCATCTGCATTTCAAGGAGAGGGGCACTGCCCTTGTGTAACTTCAGAAAACTCCCATTCTTCTGGAGGTATGACCAGGGGCTCCTGGTGGCTGATGGAAACCTTCAGAACTTCAACAGCGTGCCTCCGGTGCCTTGATGAGATCTGCGTGGAGGACTGCTTCACATTAGCAAATTAAGTTAACGAAGTTGGGTTGTTGCTTAATGACTCTTTCACGCTATTAGCTATATTGCTGCGTATTCCAAAGTGGATGATGTAGTTACGCTGGTCAAAGAATATCTTGAGGGAGCAAATTAAAATGGAACGATACGTTGGACTCCTTTGTACTGCAGTAATTGCATTCATGTGGTGCATTACATTTACCAGCGCTCAGTGTGGATTTGCTGCTTTCTGTTGCAGAGAAGATGTAATGATTGGGATTTTTTCAACTTGTGCGCAGTCAGGTGTGGCTCAGCTGCTGCCCAGGAACGCTTGCTCAGATCTGGCTGATTGACTTCGCTGCAGGTAAGCAGGCTGCACCATGTCTCTTCAAACACCAGCGTAAATCTCCACAGATATGGAGCCCTGAAGTGCTCCTTGAGGAGGCTTCCA